GGGGGACTGTGATGTGAGGTGTGGGCTGAGAACAGTGATTTAAAGGTGGGGTGGTTGTGATGTGTAGGGAACACAAAGGACAATTAAGTAAAGGAGGCACTGTGATGTAATATGGGGGCATTTGAATGCAAAGGGGGGCTGTGATGTAAAGCAGGCACTGAAATATAAAGAAGAGGCTGTATTGTAAAGGGGCTGCTGTGATGTAAAAAGGGGGTTCAGCAATTTTAAAGGTAGTACTGTGGTATAAAGGGGGGCTGTGATGAAAAGCTGAAACTGTAATGTAAGGGGGTGAGCTGTGATATGAAGAACCTGAGTCACTGCCAAAATGACCACAGTTATTATTGAACACTAATGCAACAACAAAATGGCCGCCGATTCATTATCATCCATAGAGTACTTAAGGACATGTAGTCTACCCGCAGATATCTCCTGATCAAGTCACGTGACTGTGACGTAAACATGTAGGGTGTGAGCAAAGGGAGACACGGACTAGAAGTGACATCATGCAGAAGCGCCTATTGAGATCTCTGTAATAGAAGCAATTTTACAATTGTAAAGTGTAAGTGAAACATTTTTTTATAAAAATTGGAATGTTTTAACCTACTATACCATAAGAGGCACATTTCTCTCTCCCCATATGGATAATGTGATGGTGACAGCATGAGTCCATAAGAGTCTTAAAGGAACCATACCCCTTTTGATTGGTTCCAAGTAAGAAAGGAGTGGAGAGTCCCTAATGGTCTGGAGTAAGAGAAGTAAGCAGAACGAGTTGGTGAAATCTGGACAGAATGTCATATACAAGCATTGTGATATTTATCTGGAGGTAAGAGTTCTGCGAGCACAGAGATGGCACTTCATTGTGCGAAATTAACAAGCAGTACGTGTATAATTTTGGTGTTGGATAATCACAATCACAGTGTGGACTTTGTGAACTGATGCTTTTATTGAGTTTTTGAAGTTTAGAAGTGAATATATATATTTATTTATGGTAAATAAGTGATTATATATTTTTTTTTTACACATCAAGGGCATTAATTATCAATAATAGCAGCGCAGCATCACTTATCACAATATTAGTTTCATTAAATATGGGAATACAATTTTGATGCTAGCAGCAGCAGTAGATATTTAAAGGGACGCACACTTAGTTCACTCGCATTTATGTTTTATATTTCACATTAATTAAATAGCATAACCACTTAGTTTTAGGTAGCACAGGAGTTACATTATTTAATTTAGTTTATGCTGGTATTGATGATTTTGTCCTTGTAACCCTTCTTATTGAAAAATTCTGCTAGTGTTCTGAGATGTTTATTTCTGTCTTCTGGGTATGAACATAATTAGGAGTAAATAATGGCCCAGTTCTAAAATGATTTTTTTTAGCACAGTGCTGATGGGGGAATCAAATGTTTTTTTTTCCCTCCACCAAAAAAATCGAATCATTTATGGCTGCATACAAATCTCCACACATGTGATCTATTGACTGACTTCTGCTCAACTTCCTTGTTAGAAAAAAGTTGGTAGATGCAGCACTGATCTATGTATTCTGACAGTGAAGAAAATGACCCCCTCCACCTTAAATGTGTGGATGGAAGAATAGGTTCAGCTTTTTCAGAAATGTCACTTGTAGTGAAATTACCTATATTTGGGGTCCCGCAGTTCAGATTAGGCAGACTTTTTTTTGTAAAGCATGTTGAAAATACAATTTTTTTCATAGTTGTGTCCATATATCAGTTTATAATAAATACAAAACATAAGAGTATGTATTTAAAAGCCGTATATTTCTGTATAAAGAAAAAAAAAAAAAAATTAACTATTTAGTAAGCAAATTTATCAGAGGTATCATCAAGTTCACTGATACATATATGGTAGCTGTGCTAAATTTGGTCTTCATTGTCCACTAGCCTTGAAGGGGTCAAACAACATTTTCATTAACAATGAATTCCAGGTATGGATTTGTTTTTCCATAGTTCATAATTGAACAAGGTAGAAATCATGATGTCACCGCCCCAATTCTCCACCTCGTCCAATCAAAAACAGTCTTGCATTCATTGACAAAAATGCAAGACGTTCTGTGAATACCACCTTGTCGATATGGGACCCAGAAGACAGCAACGATCACTGTAATAGTTGTGCCTACTGGAACAATGTCTATGCATTAAAATCCATACTTGAAATTCAGCTTTAATGTACTCATGCACAAACACATCAGTGCATGAAGACAGGCACATGAAAACATGGACTTTCATTTCAATAAGCAGACAAGTGCTAGAAAATACAGCCATATAACAAAGCTTTTAACAGTTGTATGGATTTCTCCTGAATATTTATTGCTGTACAAGTAAATAGAAAATAATGCAGTTTATATTGACAAGCCCTTCAAGATGTTGGTGTATAAACAGTGCAAAAATTTAACTTAGATTTGGAGATTATAAAGGCTCTCTGTGAAGTAGCAGGTTAAAAGATATTTATAAAATACATAATGTAGCAAGACAAGTAATATTGTTTATAAGGTTACATGTTTACATTTATCTATATGTATTTTTTTTACAGACTGAAAGGTCAAAAGGCAATAATAAAAGTAAATGGGGAGCATAACCTTTTCCTGACAAAGCTGTAAAACATATATCTATATTTTAGAAGTTAATTCACTGTAATATAGAATTATAAAAATCTTTGTTGGATTTTTACTGAATCAGTACAAAGGCTCCATGATAGTGGTAAACCTCTTAGTGTTCTATGAAACAGATGATACTGTAGTGAATATCTTATTGACAAGTTCATTAAAAAAAATGGACGGAGTTAGGTTCACAGGTGATGCTCTGAAGCTAATGCACAACATGATTAAAGAATTAGCAAGCCCTGTTCTTCAAGATGTACGAGCATCTTCTAATACGGGAGGTGTTAACAGCACTCCAGTGTTTTGGTCCTTGTGAATAAGATTTGGTATGAAAAACTACCGATTGTGGAATTACCATATCTTCACTGGGGTAATGGAACAAGAACTTCAACATAGTTGAGGGGAAAAAATCCTGATTGCCCATTGATCATTCCTTCATACCAGTTCTCATCAATCTGATTGGTTAGGGTGATGATATCACCTTCACGGAAACCAAGTTCACCGTCATTCTCAGGTTCAAAATCATACAAAGCTTTACAACATGGTTGATCCAATGGAGCTGAAAATGAACCAAACATGGGTGTCAATTAAAAAAAGGAATACATCATAATCATAAAATCATAACAATAAGTAATAACGAACATTTTATTTGTTTCCTAAAAAATGGTCAACTGAGTAAGTAGTCATGAAATTACATGGCTGGCATTCTTATGTTTAGACTTGTGGCAGACCTTGTCGCCCCCTCTGAAAAGTAAATCTGTGGTGGATTGTCTTTTAGAAGCATTCGACAGTCACCGCCTCATTGCTTTAACCCTGTAAGTGCCACACCACCATGTGCATTACACATTGCATTCCACTTGAATGGGTCACGCTTGGCAGTGGAAATGTCAGCCACACATGATGGGGTATAATTTTTTGTGCAGTTGTTAAGCAAAGCACTTTGGCCGGTGTACATCCCCGTCTAGCTGCCTTTGCAGCTTAAAGTGGTTGTAAAGGGTCAAGGTTTTTTACCTTCATGCATTCTATGCATGAAGGTAAAAAAAAACCTGTGTGCAGCAGTGCCCCCAGCCCCCCAAATACTTACCCGAGCCCCATCGCGATCCAGCGATGTAAATGACAGCCTCAGCTGTCCCTAGTCTCTGCCCCCTCACTGGCTGAGACAGCAAGCGGGAGCCATTGGTTCCCTCTGCTGTCAATCACAGCCAGTCAGCCAATCAGTAGAGAGGGGGGTGGGGCCAAGCCATGGCTCTGTGTGTGAATGTACACACGGAGCAGTGGCTTGGGAAGACGCATGTATGCTATTTTCCAAAAAATAAAAAATAAACCTTTAGAATCACTTTAAGGCAGGATGGTAAAAACACAGTTCAATCACCCATTTTTTTTTTGCCCTCAACTGCTGCATGTGTAAATAAGCCCCAAGGATAAATGGACTGTGATTTTTGTTTTCTAACTGGCTTTCATCAGACAATTATATAAGATGTGGTACTCTTGTGTCAAACGTTAAATATTGTTGGTATCTGTTCATCTGGGGAAAGTTACAAGGAAGGGAATATACATTAGCTAATATCTATTGCCCAAATAAAAACCCAGCTAAGCATACAAAGGGGGTGTTAAGGAAACTTATCGAATTTAAAAAGGGGTTTATGGTGGTGGCAGGAGATTTTAAAGTGTGTTTGGATCCCCAGTGGGATGCGTCAACATGCACAAGGAGAGAAGAGGATAGGAATCTGAAATCATTGAAGTTATTATATAAATATCAATTGGTAGATGTGTGGAGAGTAAAACATCCGAGTGAAAGAGATTACTGTATTTTCCGGCGTATAAGGCGACTGGGTGTATAAGACGACCCCCTAATTTTCCAGTTAGAACATAGGTTTTGGGCTATACTCGTCGTATAAGACTACCCCCCTTCTGAGGCAACACCATTAAACCCCTAGCCTACAGGGCACTTATACCCACTTTCCCCCAAGGCCAATTTTCAGCTTTCAGCGCTGTCACACTTTGAATGACAATTGCAACACTGTACCCATATGAAATAGGTGGCACTGATGAGGAGGCACTGGTAGGTGGCACTGATGGGCATTGACAGGCATCACTGATGGGTGCTGAAAGGCAGCACTAATACATGGCACTGATAGGCGGCACTGATAGGCGGCACTGACTGGCACTGTTAGGTGGCACTGGATGGCACTGATAGGCAGCACTGACTGGCACTGATAGGTGGCACTGACTGGCACTGATAGGCGGCACTGATGGGCAGCACTGATAGGTGGCACTGATGGGCATTGACAGGCAGCACTGATGGGCACTGACAGGCATCACTGATGGGCACTGATAGGCAGCACTGATACATGGCACTGATAGGCGGCACTGACTGGCACTAATAGGTGGCACTGATTGGCAGCACTGATAGGTGGCACTGATTGGCAGCACTGATAGGTGGCAGTGACTGGCACTGATGGGTGACACTGAAAGGCAGCTCAGATGGGCACTGATATGTGGCATTGATGTGCACTGGTAGGCACTGATATGTGGCATTAATGTGGCACTGATGGACACTGACAGCTGGCACTGCTGGGGCTACACTGATCATCGGGGCTACACTGATCATCAGGGCCCTGATGATCAGTGTACATGTCCCCTCCGCGGAAAGCAGATTACCGGCTCTCCTCTCCTCTCCCAGCGTGACAGCTCGAGAGGAGAGAAATGCCGATAACCGGCATTTCCCTGTTTACATGTGATCAGCGGTGATCGGACACCGCTGATCACATGACCGAGCCGACATCTTCGGCTCTTTCCGTGAAAAGTGATCCGCTGTGTCAAAAATGCTGAACTAGATAAAAGGATTATATAAAAACCCATCAGCGGCGGTTAAAGTAAATGGAGCTCTTCCACAGTATTTTAGAATGCATAATGGTACCAGACAGGGATGCCCCCTGTCCCCTTTACTGTTTGTTTTGTCTCTGGAACCATTTTTGGAGAGGGTAAGGAAATGTATTGATATAAAGGGGATAAAACTAGGAGGAAAGAGAGCATAAAGTAGCCGACTACGCAGATGATATGTTATTTTATATCACTAATCCCAGATTAACGTTGCCCAATTTAATGAAAGCATTAAAACAGTATGGAGAGATGTCAAACTTGAAAATAAACCCAGTAAAATCAGAAATTTTAAATATTATATTGAAATAGGTTATCTTGGAGTAAAATTGACCTCCTCTTTAAAAAATGTATACAAGGCATATTATATCCTGTTAATAAATGAAATTAAGGAAGAATTGAGAAGATTATCCAAGCCTCGTGGATTGGACGAATAAATCTGGTTAAGATGATGATACTCCCGAACATTTTGTATAAATTCCACATACTGCCGATCGCCCTACCAGGGTCTTTTTTGGGATAATTAAAAAGATGATTATTAAATTTATTTGGAATAATAAGAAATCAAGAATTAGCTATGAGGTTCTAAGCAGAGCAAAAGGAAAGGGAGGCTTGGGATTACCTAATGTGAGGTTGTATTACACAGCTGTTATTTTATCACGAGTGGTGGATTGGAAATTCAACTCAGGGGAAGGGATGGGTGAATATGGAAGGGGCATTATGCAAATCACAGTTAAAGAAGAGTACATGGATCCCACACAGGTTTTGCACATTTGATGTAGATATTAGCTCACTGACGAAGATAGTTTTGGGTACGTGGGATAGAATACACAGTCAAAAAAAAAAAAATGGGAATTCACTGAGGATTCCATTAGTGGGAACGGAGTTTGTCCCCCCCAGGGAAGGATAATATTAGTGGGAACTGGATAAAGGATAAGAATGCACGTTTGAAAGACATTATAAAAGATGGGAAATTGCACGCGTTTCAAGATTTAAAAAATAAAGATTTATTTGGCATGTTGGATAATTACCAGCTAAACCAATTTGTAGCGAGCCTCCCACAACCACTTAGGATACTGGAAGAAATGTACCCATTTGAAAAATAATTAAATGGAGACAAGATCTCAAAACAGGTTACCTCAAAAGTATATAAGATCCTTACGGACATGGAAGGAGGTGATCCTCCCGGGTATATGGGGAAGTGGGAGAGGGAATTGGGAGTAGAAATTAATCAACAGCAAAAGGAATATGGTTTTTAAATTGACCCATAAGGTGATAAACATGCGTACAGTAGAAATGAACTATAAATGTATGGCTAGATGGTATATAACACCAAGGGTAGCCCATAAGCAGCAAGTAGAGATATCTACTATTGTATTGGAGAGGATGTGGAGAAGGAGGTACAATGGCATGATATAAAATAACTTACAAATGCATTTTCAATCCCATAAATAATTTTGCCATGTTAACAATCCTACAGTCATGGTAAAAAATAATGGCACCCCTGCATTTCTGTCAGATAATGCACCACTTCGCCCAGAAAATTATTTGCAATTACAAATATTTAGGCATTCTCATTATTTCTTTTGTTTGTATTGGTATTACACAAAAGTGGCCTGAAGGTAGCTGCATAAAACCCAGTCATAATGCCAGTGTCCTGTTTTGTGCGACCAGGAAATTAAAAATATATGGCTAAAGCATTTAGACTGCCTCAGTAAGGTCAACTGCAACCAGAGTGTAGAGATGCATCCAGAAAGCGTTATGTTTGCAGAGCCTGGTTAATATGTTACTATTCTTAGATACCATAACTTGCTTGATCATTGTTGCCAATGAAGAATAGGGGTCTATGTTATTAAATTAAAGTGGTTTTAAAGGCAAAAGGTTTTTTACCTTATGCATTAAGGTAAAAAAAAAGATAATTCTGCAAACAGCCCCCCCCCAGCCCCACTTGTACTTACCTAAGCCTAAGCCTGATCCAGCAATATGCGTTAAGGCACTTTCTCTAACAATTATTATATTAATTTAAATAATTTTTTTCATATACTATAGTTATGCTAATGGACGTAATAGTGATTTTACGAAACCATGCCACATTAATTTTATTCAGTATTTATATAATTATAGAATTTCATTGAACGATTTATATGCATACACCCCAAAACCTTCCATCCACTGGTGTCATTGATACTAATTTCATGGATTGAATATATATATATATATATATATATATATATATATATATATATATATATATATATATATATATATATTATACTTCTGAATATCTATGTAGCTAGATTATGACTGGTGCTAATATTTTTTAATTTTTATCAACTTCATAATATAAATACTTTTATTGGATATACTTGTGTGCGAATTGGATTTACCTATAGGATAATTTCTAAAATTCCAGATGCTTCTATTTTAATTACTCTTAAATTAGCTTACCATATATTAGAGGTTTGTATTTTTAGGTTCCTAATATATTTGATTTATTCTTTAGTTCCTCTTTGAAGGGAGAGTGTTGAGCCCCTGAAAAGCATTTATTTGTGAAAAAGTTTCTTTCATAGTTACATAGTTAGTCTGGCTGAAAAAAGACAAAAGTCCATCCAGTTCAACCATAGAAGAAAAAAAAAAAAAAAAAAAGACGTTATAATCCTATACCCACAATTGATCCAGAGGAAGGCAAAAAAAAAAAACCCAGCAAAGCATGATTCAATTTGCTCCTGCTGGGAAAACAAATTCCTTCCTGATCCCCCGAGAGGCAATCGGATATTCCCTGGATCAACTTTACCTATAAATGTTAGTATCTAGTTATATTCTGTGTATCTAAGAAAGAATCCAGGCCTTTTTTGAAGCAATCCACTGAGCTGGCCAGAACCAACTCTTGAGGGAGTCTATTCCACATTTTCACAGCTCTCACTGTGAAGAAACCTTTCTGTGTTTGGAGATTAAATGTCTTTTCCTCCAGACGTAAAGAAACGCCCCCTTGTCCTCTGTGTTGACCTCAGGGTGAATAGCTCTACACCGAGTTCACTATATGAACCACTGATGTATTTATACATGTTGATCATATCCCCCCCTTAATCTCCTCTTCCCAAGAGAGAATAAATTTAGTTCCCCTAATCTTTCCTCATAGCTGAGCTCATCCATGCCTCGTATCAGTTTAGTTGCCCTTCTTTGTACTCTCTCAAGTTCCCCAATGTTCTTTTTGTGAATTGGTGGCCAAAACTGAACTGCATATTCCAGATGAGGTCTTACTAATGATTTGTACAGGGGTAATATGATATCTCTCTGGAGTCTATACCTCTTTTAATACAAGAGAGGATTTTGCTCGTTTTAGAAGCCGCAGCTTGGCATTGCATGCCATTATTAAGCTTGTGATCTACCAGAACCCCCAGATCCTTCTCCACTATTGATTCCCCCAGTTGTACCCTCCCTAGTATGTCTGAAGCATGCATATTCTTAACCCCCAAGTGCATAACCTTACATTTATCAACATTAAATCTCATTTGCAACATAGTTTCCCAATTAAACAGTGCATGGAGGTCGGCTTGTAAATTGAAGACATCCTGTAAGGACCTGTGCTACTGCACAGCTTGGTGTCATCTGCAAAGACTGAAATGGGATTTTTTTATCTCAGACCCTATATAATTTATAAATATATTAAAAAGTAAGGATCCCAACACTGAACCCTGGGGTACACCACTGATGACCCCAAACCATTCAGAGTATGAATCATTAACCACTACTCTTTGAATACAATATTTTAGCCAGTTTTCTACCCATTTACATATGGATTTTTCCAAACCCGTAGATTTTACCTTACAAATTAGCCGTGTGTGGGGAACTGTGTCAAACGCTTTTGCAAAATCCAAGTATACCACGTCCACCACCACCCCTGTCCAAGGTTTTGCTCACCCCCTCATAAAAAGAAATCAGATTTGTTTGACAACTTCTGTCTTTCATGAATCCATGCTGTCTGTTGCTTAAAATATTTTTTTCCAGCAAGAACTCATCTATGTGGTCTTTTGTTAAACTCTTCAGTATCTTCCCAACTATAGAAGTTAAACTAACAGGTCTTTAATTACTTGGTAAAGATTTTGACTCCTTTTTAAATATTGGCACCACATTGGCCTTACACCAATCCAGTGGTACTATGCCAGTCATTAAAGAGTCCCTAAAAATTAGAAACAATGGCTTTGAATTTCAGCTTACCTTATAATAAATCTGTGCTTGGATAATTACATTTTGGTACAGTATCTCAATCTCAGATTTTTCTGCATGGAGAGGGCATCTAGGACTCCCAACTCTGCCTCCCCGACCCCACCCCCTTCCTTCCCAGCCCAACAAGCTAGGATCCACCAGGGTTTTCCTGCCTCCAGAGCTGAAATGGAAATCCACAACGGCAGAGAGTCTGTACTTGCAGGTCAAAGACCAAGTCTGCTTGACCAGTGCTTACAGAATGTTGAGTTGCAATTATCTGGATTGAAACTGGGCATTTGCACAAATGCTCTTATGCAGGCATGAATCAAGATTTGACACCGGGACCTAAAAGCCTGGGCACAACACAGCAGGGGCAGAGGTTTGTCTCAGGAAGATCCTGGCCAAATTCATATCAAAAGTTAGGCTCAGGTACTCTAATCCATGACTCAGTTGTAGCCACAACTTCCAAAATTTGGGGATCCAATCAAATTCCTGCATAGTCTGCACTTTCTGGCAGACATCGGTTGACAGGGATAGGTGAGGACTGATCCTTTGACAAGAGGGATCATCCAGGTAACCCACAATGTGTATCCCCAGAGAACAAAGCAGAGCTAGGAATGGGGCATGCACCTTGGTGATGATGTGCAAGTAAGCATCCCCAGAAGTAGGGAGGCGATGAC